ATTTTTATTAGTTGGAGGGCTAATTACTTTACATCATTGCAGTGGTTTTTGTCATACAATAAAATCATTTTTTAAAAGAAATCATTTAAAAAAGAATGAAATAATGCCATTTGCAGCAACATGGATGGACCTAGAGATTATCTTACTAAGTGAAGAAAGTCGGATACAGAAAGACAAATATATGATGTCATTTATATGTGGAATCTTTAAAAAATGATACAAATGAGCTTATTTACAAAACAGAAACAGACTCACAGACTTCAAAAACAAATTTATGGTTACCAAAGGGGAAATGTGGGTTCAGTTCAGTTCAGTCACTCAGTCATGTCTGACTCTTTGCAACCCCATGAACCACAGCATGCCAGACCTCCCTGTCCATCACCAACTCCCGGAGTCTACCCAAACCATGTCCATCGATGGTAATGCCATCCAGCCATCTCATCCTCTGTCATCCCCTTCTCCTCCAGCCTACCTGAAACATGGGTAGGGAGGGATAAATTAGGAGTTTGGGATTAACAAATATATATTACTGTATATAAAATAGATAATCAGCAAGGACCTACTGTATAGCACAGGGAACTCTACTCAATATTCTGTAACAACATATCTGGGAAAAGAATCTGAAAAAGAATGGAGATATATATATACATACACACACACATAAATATATATAAATCACTTTGCTGTACTCCTGAAAATAACAACTATACTGCAATACAAAAACATAATTTTTTTAAAAGAACAGCATCAAGAAGATATTATAAGGGCTCAAAGTGGAAAAGGTGATTTGAAAAACTTAAGTTACTGCATATAATGTGAAAATCATATATAAATCCTTGCTTCTCAAGGTGTAGTCCACAGAACCAGCGCACAGGCATCACCTGGGAGCTTGTTAGAATTGTAAAGATGATAAACTCTGCCCAGACCTTCTGCAATTTTCTTTTTTTGGCCCCACCGCGTGATTGCGGGATCTAAGTCCCTGACCAGAGTTAGAACCATGCCCGGTGAAATGGCAGCAGGAAGCTCTAACCACTGGAGCCAGGCAATTTCAGGTTGTGCGTTTTAGTGAATCCTCTGAGGGGGTGTTTGCTCATATAAGTGTGGAAGGCAAAGGCTTAGTGCCCACAAGGTCCTAAAGCTTGTTTTCAATATGATGGTTGTCTTTTTTTTTTTTTTAAGCAAATGATAAGCAGAAAGTGATCAAAACTAAACTCCTGGGATTGTAAGATTAACCTAACCACAACATAATCTTTCAAAATTAGTACTTCTTTTCTTTAAGCGTGTCTTTTATTTCCAATTCTTCCTTTATTCTATATGAGAGGGATGCAGGTGCCTGGGGCTCAAAGAAGAAAGGAAACGGTTTGGGGGGGCCGGAAATCGGTCCCCTCTGGAAGGCAGACAGGGCTGGCAAGCTGCCAGCAGATTCTGTTCTGGAAAATAGAGCCTGTGTGCTTTGAGGTGGTCTGAGGCCATTTGCTCTTAGATCTTTGCCTCACCTGGCCTGGCAGCTGTCCTGCACTGCTACATCCGCACCAATACATGGACTTTCTTTTGCCAGTTTCATTTTATATGTGGTCCGATAAACATCTTTCCAGCACCTAGTAAGGGCATAGCATGAGCTAAATAGCAAGAGCTAAGGTCTACCCCGGTGTGGTCAAAGATGTAGAAATAATTAGAAGAATAGATAGAAAACAAGTTGTACCAAAAGAGAGATACAAACTGAAGACTATGACTGCTCAGATAAGTGCGAGTGGTGGGGGGCGGGATGGAGAATTTCTGGCTCAGGAAGGCTTCAAGAAGGAGGAAGCCAAACCAGTTGGGCCTTGAATGATGATAATTTCAAGAGGCAGATCTGGGGTTAGAGCTTTTTTTTTTTTTTAAAGATTCTGATTTTTTTTTTATGTGGACAAATTCATTTTTTAATGAATTCATTTTTAATGAATTGTTACAATATTGCTTTTGCTTTTATGTTTTGGGGTGAGGCAGGTGGTGTCCTAGCTCCCTGACCAGGACTCTAATCTGCACCCCCTGCATTGGAAGGTGAAGGCTTCACCACTGGACCACCAGGGAAACCCCTGGGATTGGAGCTTTTGAGAAAGAGTATCTAGTCCCAAAAAAGTAAGGCGGTGGGAAGATAAAGAGTCTCTGAGGATGAGTGTCAGAGAGAACGCTGGAAAGAAGGCTTGGAGTTAGTCGTGCTGCTTGCTAAGCAGTGCTCACTGTTTTGTCCCACTCTTTGCAACCCTATAGACCGCACCCTGCCAGGCTCCTCTGTCCATGGAATTTTCCAGGCAAGAATACTGAAGTGGGTTGCCACTTCCTGCTCCAGGGCATCTTCTCAACCCAGGGACTGAACACATGTCTCCTATGTCTCCTGCATTGGCGGGTGGATTCTTTACCACTGAGCCACCGGGAAGCCCCTGGAGTTAGTCATAAATAGCCCCAAATGCCCAAATGTGGGCAGTAAGGAGCCAAACAAGAATTTTTGAGTTGAGCAATGACATGACCCTAACTGTGCTTTGGATGTTTTATATACTAGGGATTCTTTTCTGGGGAGGGAGGGAGGAAGAATTTATGGGACACTCCTATTGCTTCCCAAATTCCCAGCTGAAGACAGAGTTATCATCCTCTTCTTTTCTGTTTTTCCATCTCCCCACAGCAGAACCACCCTCACCTTCCTGCCAACCACACAGTTAACAGATGCTCAGCATCTAAAAGTTACCTGGGGCTGAATGAGACTCCAGCCCCCAGGAGGTCTTGCCTGTGGATTGGGAAGTAGCACCAGCCCCAGTGCCCAGGAAGACCGGCATGGAGCATGGGTGTGCTCTGATGACAAGTGTTTAAACCACCTATTTATCAAAGTCTGAGGTTAGGATGATTATCATTGGACATGTTTACCATCAGAAAGGAGAAGCTGATCAGATAAGAAGCCCCATTTGACAGCAATCTGCTTTCACCTGTACTTGTTTCTGGGTACTTGTTGTTCTAAGAAGAAATGCTCAGGGTTTTTTTTTTTTTTCTTCTGTAAACCTGGTTCCTCTAAGCCGGCTGTTTCTTCTTTCTCCTAACAGCATCACAAAACTTGGGGACTGGATGGAACTGGAGACTCCATCTTGCCAATCCCCTTACTTAGTGGGAAGGCTGAATGACTTGTCCTACTGCTCTCGGCCAAGCCAGAGGAGAGACTTTTAAAATATATATCAAACATAAGAGCTAGAGTGCTTAGCACTCAGTCATGTCAGACTCTCTGCCACTCCATGGACTGCAGCATGCCAGGCTCCTCTGTCCACGGGATTTACCAGGCAAGAATACGGCAGTGGGTTGTCACTTCCTACTCCAGGGATCCCTCACATCCTCCCACCCTTGTTGGAAGCAAGGGCTTGTCTGTGAACCATGTCCACAAGGCTGTTTTGTGTGCAGGAACGGCCAGCTCCAGCCTCGTTCTGGACCACATGAGGGGCCTCCCACGAGGCGCAGGGGTGGCGGCGCCTCTGACGGCAGAAGCAGGCGGCCCACCCAGGGGACCCAGCTTGGACATCTCGACCTCGCAACTGAACCCCCAGTCCAATGAGTGCTCTGAGAGCCTGTTTTCACTCAGAAAAACAGAAATGTAATGGAATTTTTAAACTGTCTAGAAGACAATTTTAAACTAAGAAAACGGACCTGACTCTGCTTGGCCAAGGCCAAAGTACACAGAAGTTGGTGTGAAGTCACTTCCACGGTGGGAACTCAGTGAGACACGCTCCGTGGCTTCCCGGAGGAGGTGAGGAGGGATTCTCCATCATCTGCGTCCTTGTGGAGAATCACTGTATGTGGGGGCGGGGTGCAGTCCCTCCCCATGAAGTGCTCAGAGTGGATAAGGATTATTTCTGAGAAATGCAGGGTTAGTTGGGAAGGTGGGATCGCCCTGGGCAAAGCGTGGGAAGGGGTTCTGGGAGCCCCCACGCACGTCCTCTCTTGGCCCCCTCCTCCTGCCCCGCCGCCCTCGCCCGGTCCCCTCCCCAGTAGGGACCTGTCCGGCCCTCACCTGGTCTGCCTGTCCTCTCATCCTCCCCCCAGGCCTTTCCCAGCACTTCTGGGCTGCTGACACAGCTCTCTGCTTAAGTGGTAGGTGTGTGGGAGTGCTGGACATCACTGTGGGCCTAACAGGGGCCTCTGCAAGGACACTTAGACCTGGAGAGGGCGAGGCCGTGGAACAGATGTTCAGAAGACAGAGAGGGGTCTTCACGCAGCGTCCCTCCCCACTTGTCTACTGACTCAGGACAGTGGTGTGCTAGATCTCAGCGCTCCGTTCAGACCCAAACAACGGGACCTTTGCCACTTCACCTAAGCAGTACTCAAGACTCAGGCCTGAGTAAGTCACATTTATTCTAGTTAGAAAGCAGCACCCAGGTAGTGGAGGCCCTGGGGCTGTGGCTATAGATAGAAGAAGAAGGCTCCATTCCATCTCCCACCACCCGCCCATCTCATACACACACGCACACCCTGCCCCATCTTCTCATGAACACTGGGCTAAGATGTAAATCGGGGGATCCGCCTTGGGGGTCCCGTGTCCCTCCCTCACCACCATCATTTTTCTCCGCCGGTTCACACCCCTTGGATCCCGCACAAACTCGCCCCTTGTTTGACATCCTGTGCATTGAGTCCTGCTAACAACGGCCAGCCGTGCTCACCCAAGTGCAAACATCGCTCCGCTCCCTGAAAGGCCAGATGGAAACTCCCCACCCCCCACCCCAATTTGTGGGTCCACATCTGACAGCGCACCAGGCTTTTATCTCAGAAGCAAAGAGCCGGGTTCTGAGCGGCAATCCCGCCCCCCAAGCACACACGGAGTCAAAAAGACATTTGTCCACAGGGCTCATCACAGGGAAAACTTTTGTTCTTTTTTTTTAAAAAATAATTTTCTCTTCCCGCCAAAATGTCTGTCCCCAATGCAGCAGGAGCAGCAGCGGCAGCAGGTCTGTGGAAAGCCTGCCATCTGACCTGCTAGCACGTCCCTCCTAGCGTCCCATCTGGTGTCTGGTGCGCACAAAGGCCCCCGGCCGCCCCGCCCAGGCCTTTCTGCAGCCGCCACCGGCCGTCCGGTCCCCTGGGCCCGCCCTGCGCGAGGGTCTGGAACCCCTGGGCCCCACGGCCCGCAGACCAACAGGTGATGTCAGCGGGTGTCCGAACTCTGGGACCCACCAGGCGCCGGCACTCATGATTCGCACGTGCGCGCGCCCCTGACTCAGCAGTTTCCAGCGGCCTGGACTGCAATTCACAAGGAAGGACCCGGGCCCGGCTGCTAAGGAGTCGCAGCACCACCTTTCTGCACAACAGCAGAGAACTGGAAACTACTCCAGATTACCTCGATCATGGAAATAGCCACACTATTAAAAAAAATAAAAACACAACTGTGTAGCGACTGAAGACAATGCTGGAGACCTGTGTCTTTTGGCATCAAAGGCTATCCACAAAAACATTCTTAAATATAAATATTAAGTTTCCAAGTAATACATAATGTGATTCTACTTTGCTATATAAAATATATATACATTTATACATACATTTATATACATGTACATAGAAAAAGTGTGTATACCAAGATGTTAACTCATTATTTCTGGATGTTGAGTTTATGACTGACTTTACCTTCCTATTTTTTATCATATTTTCTGATTTTTACTCATTTTCTATAATTGTATAGTAAAAAAAAAAAATTTTTAATGAATGCTGGAGACAACTTTCTCATTTACTTATAGATATTATTTAAAGCCATGAACTAGATGAGGGGAAATATACAGAAGAGAAGGGGGTCCCAGGCTGAGGCCTGGGAACTCCAGTATTTAGAAATTGGACAAAGGAGGAGACAGGAAAGGAATCCGAGAAGGAGCAGCCAGTAAGAAGGGAGAAAAACCAGAAGGATCCCAGCGGCCAAGAAAAAGAACTGGCTCAGGCTCTGTCACATGTCCCTAAGAGGTCAGGAGAGGAAGATTAGAACAGCACATGGGGCAAGGTGAAAATCTGTCAGATAAGAGGGAGAGCGAGGGACTGGAGTTCTGTAAAGAAGTGGGAGATGTGGAAGGCTGTGTTTTCTCAGACAGGGAAATATCTCAGCATTGTTGTAGGATGACGAGAATGACCAGGCTAACAAGGGAGTCAGTAATCCAGTAGCCAGAGATAATGGGCAGAGAAGGGGGATCTGCAAGCACAGACAACTAGTGTGGCTATCCAGCTCCTAGGACAGCCTGCCCCCGACATGGAGAAAGAAAGCAGAGCTTAGGTGAGCACCAGTGCAGGCAGCATGGTAGGTGTGGCGAGGGGAGATGAGTTATTTCTAGGATGTACAGCGGCTGCTTGAGGTGGGTGACATCGATGAACATTTTACAGAAGATCAGTTGTACCATTGTGTGTCTGCCTGTACGTCCCCATCTTCATTTGTGTGATGGCCTAGGGAAATAATTCCCTTTGCCACTCTTTCTCCATCTGCAAACCTTTATCACTACATCGTGAAGAGTTACAGCAAAAGAAACTGATTAAAAGACTCAAAACCACACAAATAAGTTCCCATGAGATCTACAGGACTCAGCCACTGCAGGAAGTATAGATATTATCACTCATTCATGTGTCTCCCTGGTGACATCATTCACTTTCTCCTTTAGAAAGTGAACAGTAAACCAATATGAAAGTATAAATTACATTTACTACTTTACACGAGCTAAGTGACGTTTATCAACCACCCGCTGGCGTGTTGCCTTTCCTGGGTCCTGGGAGGGAGCTGACACCAGTGTGATGTGGAGGAAGATGAGCTGTGAACCCAGAGCACAGGCCTTCCAAGCCCAAAGATGGGGGCTTGGATAAGAGCAAAAGCTTTACATTATTACAATTACAGTTCTCATATCCAGCTTTTTTTTTTAACTTGATGTTCTGTTTATACTTTTCTGTTTCTACATGCTCTGAAAATAGAACAGGCTTTGGAATCAGAAGTTCAAAACATAGTTCTACCTCTCATTGCCTATCTTCAAAGGCAGATGTAGGTCTTAGGGGGCCCAAAGCTTGGGGGCTTCTCTTAAGAACACAAAACTGAGAGCAGAATTGAATATTTCTCTGGAGTGGAAAAGGAAATCACAACACATTTCCGGAGGTTTCAGTCTTGCCTTCTGAGATCTCTTTAGACAATTTATCAGGAACATTTATGCAGAGATGCTCTCTGATTACAATGTTTCCACCCCACCCCACTGGGGTCCTGACCCCCCAACAATGTGACTACCACCCTCCTAGGGCCCTTGCAAGTGGGGGCCCTGAAGTTCAAGCTTCATTTACTTTATAGTGAGTCTGCCTCTGTCTGTGTGATCTGGGGTAGATCAGACTTCTCTGATCCTCAATTTGCTCATCTGCAAAATGGAATCAGAATAGCTACCCATGAAGGTTGCTGTGAGGACCGAATGAAATAGTTCAGAAATCAGGGCTGGAACCTGTGGGGATTGCACACCCTGATTCTTATTTCTCTAATGCCAGTGACTGGGAGATGGAGGCGAGGTATGCGACACCATGCACTGTGCCAGCTCCTCATAGAGACCAGTTTTCTTCCAGTTAGATTACTGTCATTTTTTAACAATCACTGCCTGCCTTATGCTACCTGTAATGGATTTTTAGACTAATAGATTTTGTGAGCTTTTATAAACTCCTCCAGCAATTTAGAGTTAAATGAGGAACTAGGTAAAGCCACCATTTATCTGGCTCATCCTCCTTAATTATTTCTTCTAAAATCAGTGGCCAAATAAAAAATCTTTTTTTTTTTTTAGATGCATTGATGCAATTAGAAAAATGTTAAAGGACTCAAGAGATTCAACGGCTCTGGCCTGTGAGCAGACGGACCATTCATAAGTTTGTAGTTTCTAATTCAGAGCAGTCTCAGATGAATTTCCTGCCCAAGCTGGTCTGCTTAGGGAACAAAAGCCTGGAGATGTGTCTGCTTCACGCCCCATTGGCAGTGCACACTGCCAGGGCTGGCCTCTCTGGTGGCCGGTACTCATCAGAGGAACCCGCCACCCTTAGTAATTCAGCTTTTATAAATCACTTCAGGGAAATACAGTTTGGACAACACAGAAGCGCTTTCCTTCATACCACTGGGACTTCGCCACAGTCCTCTATATCTTGTAAGTAAGCCACAAAGGTTTCAGTGAACTACTTCCAATTCCTGTAGCCTCATCAAGAAAAGTACCCCCTTCTGGGGCCAACGCTTACAAGATGCTAAAGTCTGAAGGTGACCACAAAAGTATTCCCTTAGCGACTGATTCCACACTTTACAACATAGATCCCTCCAAGGATCGGTTTCATGCGGCTGCATTTTACCTGATATCCTCTGGCTTTGATAAACAGGGGTTAATTAGGCATCTGTGAAATAAAACACAACCTGGGCACCCCACCAGGCAAGAGATGCTAAATGTCTCATTTTGAATGACTCACCTGAGTTTTAGTTCTGCCTTTAATGAAAGAAAGAAAAAAAAAAAGCTTCTGCAGTTACAGCTTCTCCAGCCTGAAGAACTTCTCCAGTTACCCTGCCTTATATAACAAAGGAAGAAAGAATGGAGCCAGAGGACCACACGCTGGGCTGGAAAGATGAACAGATGATCTTAACTAGGAGGCTTAGCCCCATCTTCAAAGCAGATCAGACTAATGGGAGGGAGGATGGGAGAGATACCACCTCAGTGCTGGAGAGAGGAGACAAGAAACCAATTCACTGATTTTAAAGAGTGGGTGGTGAGGCATAACTATCACTTCCCAGGATTTTTCTAAGACTACAGTTTTCCCTTTCATAATGAAAAAAAAGAAGAGTATATTTTTAAAATATTTGGAGATATTGAATACTTCTAAGCAAATGTCTTTAAATACGGAAAGAAAATGTCTGTTAACGGCGCCTTCTGTTAGAGAGAAAATTGACCTCGGTTTTAAATTAAATTTTCCAAAAGCTTCAACCCAGGTTTCTTCCCCACATCTTGAATTTTGGCTTTCATATTCTTCAAACGTTAGGCTGACCTGATTTTTCTTTCCAGTTACATCAGTGTAACTTGATGAATAGTGATTCCTAATAAGGAGAGTATGCCCAACCTTGTAAAAAAAAAAAAAAAGTTAAGAAAGAAACTAAAATATCATGATAGAAAAAAGAGCATTTAAGATAAAGTCCAAACAAAATTTTTAAAGATAAAATTCATCTTATAAGGGACTATCTGAATAGCTTCTTTTCATTGACTACAATTTCTGAGCATTGTGTGATTTATATATATTTACTCCATTATTAAAAAATTGTCCATGGCTACATATTTGCTACAAATGCAACAGTTCACACTGTTATAGCAGCCTAATATGAGAGGCTGAATAATGACCCCCCCCCAATACATTGATGTACAAATCCCCAGAACCTATAAACATGTTACCTTACATGGTGAAACAGACTTGGCAAATGTCATCAAATGAAGGGTCTTGACTTGGAGAGATCAGCTTGGATTATCCAGATGGACCCAATGTAATCACAAAGGAGACAGAGGGAGAGTTTGTCCAGATAGAGGATTGTCTGAGGGATGTAACAAGAGGACGATTCTACCAATCACTCCTGGTTTTGAAGATGGAAGAAGGGGCTGTGCAACAAGGAATGCAGGCAACTTCTTGGAGGTAGAAAATGCAAGGGACTAGATTTCCTCCTAGAGCCTCCAGAAGCAATGTAGGCTTTCTGACACCTTGACTTTAGCCCAGTGACACTGATTTCAAATTTCTGACTTCAAGACTGTAAGATAATAAATCTGCATTGTTTTAAGCGACTAAATGTGTGGTATTTGTGACAGCAGCAATAAGAAATTAATACATAGAGTATAGTGTATTAATTCCCATTTTACAGAGAGAGATCTAAGATCTTTCAAACTTCTATGATCCAAAATAGTTAGCACAGTGACTTGAATGAGCTGATATTGTTACCAAAGTAGGTCCATTGGCCAATGCACAGCAAACCAAAGACTGTGATGCCAAGTTTCCCTGCCAAGAAAGAATTGATTACAAGGCAGCTAAATGAAGAACTAGGAGAACAAGTCTCAGCCTCACCTCTCTGAAGTCAGGGAGCTGGGATATTTATGATAAGCAGGGAGGTCTCAGGTGTGGGGAGAAGTGATTGGAGGCAGGGAAAAGGCACAGGTATATTTGGGTTACATACTTCTGCACATCCAAAAAT